TAAAGCCAAAGATGAAGTAATTGAATATTTGTACCAACTTCTGCAGTCTGAAATTGACCAAACATGGAATCAAGATGTATTGATAATTACAATGTGAAAGTTAGAAACAAAGAAGAAATATCAATAGTTGGAAAATGTGGCCTTGGTGATAGAAATGATGCTGGAGATCATATCATAGAATTTGTACAACCAACAACTTATTCATTGCAAATACCCTTTTCCAACAACATCAATGCCATGTATACATGTGAACAAGGCCAGATGGAATACACAGGAAAGAAATAGACTAAATCTGTAGAAAGAGTTGTTGGAAAAGTTCAATGTAATCAATCAGAACAAGGCCAGGGGCCATCTGTGGAAGAGACCCTCAGTTTCTCATGTTGTTGTTATGTGCCATTGAGTCGGACCTAACTCATAGTGACTCCTCCTTGGGTTTCCGATGCAGTATCACTACAGAAGTAGATTGCCCAACCTTCCTTCCAATGAATGGCTGGTGGGTTTGAATCGCCAGCCTTCTGGTTAGCAGTCAAGTGCCTTAGCCACTATGCTACCAGAGCTCCCATATATATACAAGTTTAAATTGAAGCTGAAGAAAATGAAAACAAGTCCATGAGAGCCAAAATATGACTGAGTACATCCCACCTGAATTAGAAGAACAGATCTGATGCACTGAATACCAATGACTAAAGAGCAGACTGACTACGGGATGACATAAAAGACATCATACATGAAGAAAACAAAAGGTCATTAAAAAGACAGGAAAGAAAGAAAAGGCCAAAATGGATGTCAGAAGAGACTCTGAAACTTGCTGTTGAACAAAGAATAGCTAAAGCAAATGGAAGAAATTAACTCATGGTGACCCCATGTGTGCAGAATAGAACTTCTCCATAAGTTTTCCAAGGTTGTGACCTTTCTAAAACACATTGGTGGCTTATCTGGTCCAAATCCCATATGCTGTTATATTATTTATGCATGTTATAGGGATCCCTGGTGGTGCAACCACCAACACTCCTGTTAACCTAGTAAATGATGCAGTAAAGTATAAAAGGTGTAGAAGTGGCGAGAGAGGCAAAGATAGGTAGAAGATGAGGGAGGAAAGAAGGTAGGAGGAAGAAGAATAGGAAGAGTTACTGAAAGGCGTTTAAAATAGTAACCAAGAGCATAGCATTTGCTGTCAAACCAAACCCAAAACCAAACCCGCTGCCATCGAGTCAATTCTGACTCACAGGGATCCTATAGGACAGAGTAGAACTGCCCCATAGGGTTTCCAAGACTGTAAATCCTTACAGAAGCAGACTGTTTCATCTTTCTCTCATGGAGTGGCTGGTGGACTCAAACCACTGACCTTTTGGTTAGCAGCCAAATGCCTTATCCACTGCACCACCAGAGCTCCTTGCTGACAAACAGCCAGGTTCAGATTCCAGCTCTGCTACTTACTAGCTGTGTGATCTTCTCAGTGTCTCAGTCCCCCCACTTGTAAAATAGCTATAATAATATCTACTTCAGAGGACTGTCATGAGGTTTAAGTGAGTTGATACTTATAAAGCACTTAGAACAGTATCTGACACAAAGTGCTATATAAATATCTGTTATAAACCCACCAGCCACTCCTCGGAAGGAAGGTTGGGCAATCCTACTTCCGTAGTGATACTGCCTCGGAAACCCAAGGAGGGGTCGCTATGAGTCGGGCCGACTCGACAGCACATAACAACAACAACAATTACTAATAGTTGTTGGATAGGTTTCATCACTACCATCATCATCAAAGTTGGCCATTTCCAGCCTTAGAAATCTGAGATTTCTCCTCCACACCTGCCACTGCCTCCCGGTCCCAGGCCTTTACCAACCTCTCAGTTGGAGCAGACAAACTGATCAAAGGAAAAGGAAACACCAATTAAGAAGGAGGCAGATTGGTTGAAACAGGGGGTATCACCTGGAAAGAAAAGTACTCTATGTCTTAGTTAATTGAGCTGGTGAGATGGAGGGAGCATTGACTCCAGAGCTGGACAAATCTGGTTTCAAGTATCAACTGCTCAAGTTATTTAACCACTCTGAGTCATGGCTTCTTTATCTGAAAAAAGGGTGGCTGATAACCATCTCAGGACATTGCATGTAGTCAAGATACGGGAACTGTGTGTAAAGTGCACAACACAGGGTCTGGTGCAAAGAAGCCAGGGCTTCAAACCAGTTCATTCCTGTTCAACCCCAGTTCAACTCCCAGCTGAGAATTTGTATTTCCACCATAGATACACTGAATCAGAACCTACAGTTTAGCAAGATCCTTGAGTGATTCTTATGCATGTGTCTATAAGAATCAATAAGAATAGCCTGGGAATCTAGTGGAATTGTACATCTTGATTCAGTGTATCTGGGGTGGAAATGCAAGTTCTCATCTGGAATGAACTTGTTCAAAGTCCAGAAAGAAACCAGTAAGCAGAAAATTATTATTCATGGAGACACGTGTATTCCCTTGGGCAGTCTGTTTGGTGAAGTGTAACCCAAGTACACACAAAGGATCATCCCAAGTCTCTAAACAGCTACTGGTCATGGTTCTTGAGAGCTCAGGTCCCAGGCAGAAGTGGAGGGGCCAGGGGGGAACTCTGTAGTGTAGCTGAGGAAGAGGTGGAACCGGTAAGGTTCTTGTAGAGAGAAATGGAGGAATTGATGACTAAATATGAGAAATAGCTCACCTTAGCCTCAATTAAAAATGGATAGACTAAATACTTACTTTCCACATAAAAAACACCAGGAAAATCACAGCATCATAGATTTGGAAAGTCTCTTAACTATCCTATAGTCCAACCTTCTCAGGTCAGATGGGAAAGCTAATGCCTAAATGGCCTGCTTGAGGTACCACCAGGAGCTAACAGCAGAGTTAGGGTAAGAGCTGTACTCCAGGTCTCTAGCCTGGCCTTTCTCCCCTGCTTCCTACCACTGGAAAAGTCTGGGATCAATATTTAACAGAGGTAAAGCGGAGCCCACAGAAGACACTAACTCTGCAGGAGGCAATACACCATCTTGTAATTAAGCTCAAATATGTGTCCCCTCTGCTTTCTGGGAGTGGAGACAGACAACAGGAGTGTCTACATCAAGCAGCACATGGCGACCAGGCCTTGGAGTGCCTGCATCCTGGAACAGACACCAAGAGCTTCAGAGACATGAAGGGCTCCAGTATTCAGTGGTTTGCTTCCCAGGAAATTTCTAAGGCCTGTTCTTTCCAAAACATAGACACCCCCATGTCCCACAGGTCTTTGCCCCTTCCTGCCTCAGCTCCACACCCAAAGCTCAACTCGTCCAGTGTTGACAACTCACTTTAAAAGGGAAAAATGATTCTCGTTCCAAAAGTCACGCAGCTGATATCTGTTTAGAATTAATTATTAAACTGATATTGAACCAGTTTCAGCGCAGAGGTTGGAGCAATTCTATGTTCATCCACAGTACCAAGAAAAGCCTCTACAAAGTTAATCCCCTTGATCATGCTGAATGATTAAGGCACAGAATCCTTGGAGAGAGCAGACCGGATACTAGTCTGTCCCCATCACTCCAACACCACCACAAGTTTTTCAGGTTAAAGTGAACCTAAATCACTTCCAAAGAGTGCAGTGGTCTTCAACCCAAGCAGCACATTAGAATCACCTGGAAAGCTAAAAGACCTACCACAAGAGCCACTCCAGACCAATTGAATCACAATCAGAAAATTTTTAAAAAAGCTTCCTAGCAATTCTAATGTGCTTTCGGGTTTGAGAACATCTGAGTCACACTTTGGTCCAAGAACCTGAAGGTCCAAAAATTGGAACTAGAAGCTACCACTATGTGCTTCAGGATCATGAATTCTAAATTAAAGAGATTTGAATTTTAATTCTGGCTCCACTTCTCATCAGCTGTGTGACCTTGGGTAAGATCCTAAAACCACTTCTTCAACTATAAATGGAAACAACATGGTACTTACTCCACAGGGTTGTTGTGTGATTTAAAATAATGTATGTAGGCCATTTAGCATGATGCACAGCAATACTCGAACCTTAGTTATTCCTATTAGGTACAACTCACTTCTCCCCTGACCAGAGTCACAAGAACTTATCCTGTTCTTCTAAATTTCCTTAGAGACTTAGATCAGTGTCACACCTCAGAATCACTTGTAGAGCTTTTTTAAAATGCAGATTCCCAGGTCTTACCCCAGGACCTCAGTAACTTTTGGGTTTGCACAGTGTATTTTTGTGTATTTTCCACAAACTCTCTCAGAACCTGTGATGCAGATTTAGGACTGGGAGTCACTGAGCCGGAGCATCTTCATGTGACTGGCATCTTAAGTTATTAAATGGCATACCATTGCTTCCAATGACATCATTGGTTCCATCCTCAATGATGATGCCATTTCTCAAGTGAAAATGTAACAGAAGACATTAGTGAGGTCCCTGGGTTTAAGACATTACATATTCTACTCCCATGGGGCTAGGGCACAACATGAAGTCAATCAATCATCTAAAATGCTACATGCCAAACTGCTCTTTGTATTTACTATATCACCCAATGAACATCAGGGATACCACAACTGCTGAGAAAGATGCATGATGATGGGGGAGAAGGGCTGATATCACAGATGGCACGTGAAGAAACTAATAGACACTCTGGAGCACAAGCTTTTTGTCTCAAGTGGGAAATTAAGTCAGAGAGGCTAAACCAAAAACCAAACTCACTGCCATCGAGTTGATTCTGACTCATAGCAACCCCTCCTTGGGTTTCTGAGGTGGTATCTTCTGAGGAGTGGCTGGTGGGGTTGAACCACTAGCCCTCTGGTTAGCAGTGAAATGCCTTAGGCACTACGCCACCTGTTAAAAACTGAGACACCAAGGCCCAAAGAGTGGAGGTGACCATCCCAAGACACACAGCAAACTAATAGTAGAGCCATCACAAACCTCCTAAGCCAATTGTTCCCACTGAACAAGACTCCTTTTGTTCTCATCAAGCCTGATATTTTGGGCCCTAACCATGAAGCTCACCTTGGCTATTATTCGGCACAAGGGCGCTCCCTCCTGTGTCAAGCTGAAAAGGTTCCCTGTGGTGGACTCCGTGGTATAGATATTGTCTGAAGTATCAATTTTCCTCACCAGTGCCTAAGAAGAAAGAGCACAGGTGTTCTGGTTATTCATCTCCACATACCTTCTGCTCATCTTGCATTAAGAAATAGCAATGGGCTCATGCTCTTAATAGTTTCCAGGAATCCATAATCCTGTCAGCCTCACTGCAGGGGTACAGCGAGGTTCTATACTCCTTTGGGAAAGATGTGAGTCATAGTGAGGTCTGAACTACTTTTCAGAGATACAGGACAACTTCAAAACCCTGAGGCATACACAAGACATTTTCCCAGCTCCACTCAGTCTAAAAATCAGTCCTCAACATTGATGGGCTCAGCAAATACCCAAATTTTGTTGGGCTACTGACTCCTAGTAAGAACAGAAACCATCAGTGAAATCAACAACCTATCAGGTTGGAAATTAATGAGTTGCTACATATTTTTTTAAAAAAATGCTCATTTTAGATGGTTATTAGCCAATGGCGAATTCCAGTTGGGCTAATGGATTCAAGAGTTGAATCAAGAGAAGCCCTCTACGGTAGCTTCCTAATCGGCGGTCATTTGTGTTGGCCGTATAGCTAGGCAAAAACGTTGTTGTTGTTGTTATGTGCCATCGAGTCGGACCCGACTCATAAAATAGCAACGCTCAAAGAATGAGTAGCTCAGTTACAAATGCCACACTGATCAAAGCTGAAGGATCTAATGGTGGTGGTAAGAGTGGCTGGGAATGACTGAACATAGGACCCACCAAGGTCCAAAAGAGCCAATGCCATATTCATTAACAAATAAAATATAATGATCATTCTTGGAAGAGTTTGGCTTGTTTCTGAGAAAAAGCTTTTCACACATCTTGAAATCACTTCATAATCAGCCATTTTCTTTGGAACATGTGATTCATCGATTATGAATAATTTCTACCTGCTAATTAATGCCAGTTGCTCAAACTTCTCCTGGGAGACCTAGAGATAGAAATTGGGAAATGCTGCCTTTGAAAGTATCATGCAAGAAAGTAAGACCTCCAGGCGGGGTGCTCTGAGCAGCACTTGTACAGCTTCATTTGCTATGTTTGTTAAAAATCATTAAAATTGATTCAATTTTAATTAACCCATGCTATGGAAAAGACACTAGAAAGGATATCAGGAGATCTGAGTTCTAGTCCAGGTTTATTGATTTTATTTTATTTTTTTTATTATGATTTGGGTGAAAATTTTCAGAGCAAATTCACTTTCCATACAACAGTTCACATACACTTTGTCTCATGACACTGACTACAATTTACCCCAATGCAACAGCTCCCCTCCCACTTCCTCCCGATAGTTATCTCTTCCCTTCCAGCTTTATTTTTAACACACTATTGGGCAATCTACTTCTGTAGTGATACTGCCTCCAAGGAGGGGACACTATGAGTCTTATCCAACTTGACGGCAGTGAGTTTGAATTTTTATTGATGATAGAAAGGATCTCTGGTGGCACAATGGACAAGGTGTTTGGCTGGTAACCAGAAGGTCAGCAGTTCAAACCCACCAGCCGCTCCATGGAAGGAAAATGAGGCAAGCTACTTCTGGAAAGATTTATAGCCTCAGAAACCCAATAGGGTTCACTATGCATTGGAATTGATTTGATGGCAATGAGTTTTTATTGATAATAGAAAGGGGACATATGAACAGAATTGAGATTAGTTACTTATAACACTGATTAAAAGCATGCGCCCTGGATTCAGATTGTCTGGGTTCAAATTCTGGCTCTGCTATTTCTATGTTCCCTAGGACAAGTAACTTAAGCAAGTAGCTTTCTATGCCTCACTTTCCTCATCTGTAAATAGTGGAAATAACAGTGGCTGCCTCTTAAGGTGGTTTTGTCCAATATATGGTGGCTTGCCAATATATGCAAAGGTCTTAGAAAGGTATCAGCCACATGGAAACAAAATAAAAATACTAGCAGCTATTATTTTATAATCTTGGACAATTGAAATAAACCCCCTAGGCCTCAGTTTCCCGATTTATAAAACTACTAAAATGTCTCTTCCTTCTTTCTTCTTTATTCAAATGCAAGGAACTCTATACACACACACACACACACACAGAGGGAGAGAGAGAGTATGCTAATCCTCAACATATAGCAGTCCAAGATTAAGTGTATATTTAATTAAACTACTTGAAATATACAAATTATCCCCTAAGATTTAATGCGTCTTGTAAGGGATTCAACAAAAGGTAAAATTAATAACCAAGATTCGTCATTAAAAATCTCTGTAATGAACAGGCTTCTTAGAATCCTTCCCAGCATTACCGTAAGCACATACACATGTGATACTAATACCCAACATGAAAATGCAGATTTCATATACTGGGGTCTTGTACCTAAATGATAATTACCTAATGTTCCTGATTAGTGTTTGCACTTGAAGCAAATTAGCATTACATTAAACAATTCAAACCCAATGTCTTCTGCAATCATCTGCTAATATTAAACCATTTATGTCTGAGAATAATTTCATGTTAATTTCTATACACATATATACAGTAATTACACTTCAGATATGTCTCAATGAATCAGCTTTCTGACAAAGAAAAGTTATAAGCATTCTTTCCACAAGCATACGTTTGGGAAGGTATGAGATCAAAGGCTCAGTTGAAATCTTCAAGGCCCTAAATATCATAATATATAATGAAAGGACCTTTAGAAAGTATTTTGTCCAAACCTCATTTCACCTTTGAGGAAATGGAGATACAGAAACTTAGCCACGGTGACACACGTGGCAGAGGGCAGAGTTGGAGCTTGACTCTTGTTTTCAAAAATCAGTGAATCCATCTCCTTCAATGTCAACAGGACCTCACCTGGACTAGTCAAGATGGAAGCCTCAAGCAAGGACACTATACAGCCTCTTTAGCAACTCTCTCCAAACAGGAAAATGGTCCTCCACCCTGACTGCCCATTACTAACTAAAACTAACTCACTGCCATTAAGTCGATTGGAACTCATAGCAACCCCTCCTTGGGTTTCCGAGGCAGCATCTCTATGGAAGTAGATTGTGGTGGAATCTTCCTTCTGAGGAGTGGCTGGTGGGTTTGAACCACCAGCCTTCTGGTCAGCAGTCAAGTGCCTTAGGCACTACACTACCAGTCCAGAAAATCAAGGAGGAACTGGAGAGGTTTCTAAAATATGGTTCCATAGTGATACCACCTCGGAAACCCAAGGAGTGGTAGCTATGAATTGGATCCAACTTGATAGCAGTGAGTTTTGGTATCATGAGAAGAAGGAGCTCTGGTGGCACATTGCCTAAGACATTTGACTGTTAACCAAAAGGTTGGCAGTTCAAATCCACCAGCTGCTCTGCAAAAGAAAGATGAGGCAATCTACTTCCATTAAGATTTACTGCCTTGAAAACCCAATGTGGGTTGCTTAGTCAGAATCAACTCAACGGCAGTTGATTTTTATTTTATTTATAGACACATACACACACACACACACACACACATAAAATAAGAAAGGTAAAAGAATGATGACAAAATAAAGGAAGACAGATTGATTAGGATGAATGAGAGAAATACTTTCTTTAATGACAAACCAAACATGAAACCAAAAAAGAAAACGACATCTTGAAAACCAGGACAAAAGGGCTAAAAGGATTATGGAGATGCATACAGTTTAATGGCTCTAAACAAGGAATTAGAAAAGGAGGATCTGTTGTTTTTATATGGAAATAATTACTTTGACCTAATGAAATCCATCAGGAGAGTTAACTCTCAAAGAGTGACCTGGAATGAGAACCTCAGAAGAAACCAGGAAAATAATGTGAAGCCTCTTCCTAAAACTTCAGACAGAGTCCACAGTTAGATACAGAGCAGTCCAGCTGTGCAAAGGGGGTAAGTGAAATGTGAAGAGCTTTGACAGGACGTGGTAGATTAAAGATGGCCATAAAGTTTTTGCTACTCTCGTAGAGAGGATGGTTCTGATCCTCCTCCCCTTGGATTGGCCTTAGTGACTTGCTTGACCAATAGAAGGCAGCACTTTACAGAAATGATGTTGTAGGACTTCTTTCAAGGCTAGATCTTAAAAAGCCTTGAACCTTCCACCTACACCTCTCTTGGAACATTCTTTTGGAATCCCTGAGCTGCCATGCAAGAAGTTTTATGATCTGCCATGGTAGAAATACCACATGTAGGAGCTCTGATCAACACTCTTAGCTAAGGCTACCATCCAACCATCCCCTCCAAGGTACCATACACAAGGGATGCTGTCTAGGACTTCACAGACCATCTTCCAGCCGAACAACACTGAATAACCTCTGTTGGTGCCACATGGAACAGAAGAATCACCCAGCCAAGCCTTGACAAATTCTTGACCCTTAAAAACATGAGATATAATAAAAACTGTTGTTGGATAGTTTGTTATGCATTAATAGAGTTCTAAAATATAGGAAAAATCTAAACAGATCAGAAAATATTCAAAGGATTATTGGATAGTTTTCCAGGTGAAGGGTTTTAGAAGTGGAGAGATATATTATCAGTGTCCTAAAGGAAATCATAAATTATGACTCTGAAGAAAGGAAGAGAAAGATTAAACATGCTGAAGAAAGACAAAATAATAACAGACTGAATCTGAGCATGGTTTAGCTACTGGTCTGATGGGAAAATACCTTCTTGGTGGAATATCCAATTTCGGGATGTATCTTAGTTCTCTAGTGCTGCTATAACAGAAATACCACAAATGAATGGCTTTCACAAAACAGAAATGTATTCTCCTACAATTCAGGAGTCTAGCAGTCTGAATTCAGAGTGCTGGCTCTAGGAGCTGGGTGGAGACCCTTCAACCTTGGGCTTCAAGGACCACTGGTGCAAGCTTCTCCTGACACACAACTGCTGGCTGCTGAGGCTGATGAATCCAGTATCATCAGGTAAAGTGGAAAATGCCAAGATCAGCAGGCAACATGGTAGGCCAATGGTTACAGTACAGAAACAATCTCAAGATCGGCAGCCAACACAGCAGGCCACTGGGTCAAGCCTAGGAACTGGAGATGATAAATTGTGCCAAACGAAA